AAGTTACGTCTTCAGCTTTGCAGCCATGCTGCATTTACATTTCTTCTGTGTCCAGAAATAGGATAAAAATTACCATCACTAAAGTAGCTTAACCTGTTCCACAGACACTTGTTTGAGTATAAGACATCATATCTAATATTGGATTTTACAAACCTTTAGATTAATTGATGAATAGATTTCCTATGGGAAAACATACAATGTGTAATAATGCAACTACAAAGCACGACTTATGCTTAGGTCACATTTGAAACGGCGCCCGTTCGGCGTGTCCTCGGTGTAGACGCCGGCCGGCGTCATGACGCCGAGCGTGCGCCGACGGTCAGGGTCACAATTAAATGTTCCTTTACGGCTTCCTGTCGGGCCTGGTTGTGCTCCGGCCGGTGGCTTCTAATTAATATTCATAAACTTTTGATCCCCTTGGCGGCCGGTTTCTGTCAGGGACCCGTCCGGTGCCCGGTCAGTCTCCCGTCTTGACCCGTGCGGCTTGCGGTAGGGTGCCGACCGGCTTTTACAGTTCGGCCGGGCAGCTGTCAGGTCCCTGGCGGGGGTCCAGGGGGGGATCCTGGCGCGTCCCTGGCGGGATCCCGTCGTGTTTGTAAGCCGGTATATATATATATATATATATATAAGCGTTACACTGCCTGCCATCATTGCGACTTTAAAAACTAGTAGATGTTTCACGACCCCCTACAACGTGTAGGCCCATCCATCGAGAAAAGTCCGGAGCAAGTGCTTTTTTGGTGAATGCCCTCTACTTCTTGACACATTTCAATGTATCCATAATGTTATATAATAACAGGAAATTTAGATATTACAGTCCAGTCTGTATGTTACACTTCTGTTTAATTCTATCCAGTGCCAGACAGCCCTTGCCAGCAGGCCTAAAACTCGCCATTAACCTACGTTTCCTGGCGACCGGGAACAGCTACCGATCCTTGGAGTTTCCCTTAAGGGTAGCCCACATGCAACACAATGTCACTGTTCTGAAGTACATGTATGCCGGGCTATCGTCTCGGCTGTTTTCCACTGCCCATCGGCATTCTGACACACAAGTATACGGTGTAACACACACAAGTACACGGTGTAACACATGTACACGCGTGTTGAAATGTGCGACGTAGTCTGAACAAGGAGTTTACATATGTCCCATATAACCCCATTTTTCTTACCACCTTATGCACATGTGACGTCATAATCTTAGGCAGGTGCCTGTTCGGCCGCCCGACGGGTTCCGGGCAGTGAGGTTACGGCGTCGCTTCGGCGTCGGCGTCGCTTCGGCGTATTTCGCCGAACGGGGCCCGAAGTGTTTTTAACTCTGAGTTAAAATCGATTCGGCGACCGCGCGGGGCCAAAAATAGGCCGGCAGCCGTCGGGAAGCCCGCCGGTCTCCGTCCAGGTCCCGTTCGGTAGTGCCAAAAAACACGCCGAACACGCGCCGAGCGGGCCCCTTTCTTGAATTGTGACCTAAGCATAATCCATGTGGTCTTGGTCGATGGTTTCGCGAGAAGTGGCCTGACTTGGGGGACTGGAGCACAGCTTCTCTGTACGACATCCTGCCATTCTGGTTGCCGTTAGGTCGGTCAATCATCTGTTTTGGACGTTTGTCTGCTGGAGGAGCCTTCCTTGACGCGATGGCAGGTGTTAGGTTGCGGCTTGAGTTCTCCGGGCGAGCTCCTCTACCTGTGTATTGGCCTAGGCCCATAAGAGGATTGACAGTTTTCTTGATATTAGAGGCTAGGACCCGGATCCCGTACCTGTTTAGGTGGTACCCATCCGAGTTGTAGAGCGATTTGTTTATTACCCCCTTCTGAGACAGGTTGGTATTGTTGGCTAGGTGCACGTAGCTCGTCTCTTCTGCTACGACTTGCAAGTAGGAGTTCACGTTATCACCTATTGTCTGCAGGTCATGGTTGTCTCTTGGTAGGATTGAGGAGAAAACCAAGGAGGAGTGAGGGAATTTGTTGTGGGACGAATTGATCAGATTTCGGAAACCTTCGGATACTGCTGCTGAGTCCTTCAGGTCTCGTGCATCGTTGGTTCCAACGTGAAAGAAGATCACTTTTGGATCTGGCATTGTTGTGCTTTCAATGAACGTTGTGGCTTGCATCAAATTGAAAGTTAATTCCTTTCTCACCTTCTTGTCAGGGTACAGGATGTCTGTTTGAATGGGCCTTGTGTTTGAATCTCCAAGGATTAGCATGTCAAGTGTAGCTTCATTGTTTTGCAGATCCACTTGTATTGTGTCTCTCGGGAGGTCGCTGTTCACTTTGACAGGCTGCTTTGTTCTTGATACATGAGTTTCGGACCCTTTCTCCTCACTTCTTTGTGCATTTTTGTTGCGTCGGAATCCGCAAAGGTCTTCGTTGTTATTGCTGTGGTTGGCGCTTTCGTGTGAAGTTTCCAAGATGGTGTCGGACTTATCATGATTTGCATCGAGCACCTGGAATCTGTTCTGTACAGTGATGGTTGCTACTTCACGTAACAATTTGTCGGCGCGATCTGAGTCATCCGTCGTTTGTGTTTCCACCGAGTTCATCTGACGTTTCTGACTGGTCGTTTCGGCTTTACGCACTACCGTACACAACCTATCATGTCTCATTTCCAGAGATTTGACTTTGAGTTCAAGCTCGTGCATGTTTTTCTCCAGGCGAGCTATGTCCGATAGAAGACTGTCCTTCACTTCAGCAGAAATACCGACACATGTATGGGGCCGCTCGCATGATTTTACTCTGGTTTCGATTGCGGAGAGTTTTTGCAACACCGACTCTTCAAACACTTTTCTGTCTGTGATACTGTCTGCAAGACACGTTTCGAGTTTGGCCACACTCTCCTGAACAATAGAGTAATTAGAGGTGACACTCTCGTGCGCCATCTTGGAATCGCTGCCATCTGTAGTTTCAGCAAGGACATTGGTTTCAGTTTGACTTTCGCTTTCAGGACCATTGATATTGTTGCTATTGACATCTACTACTTCCTTAGGTACTGTGTTACAGTCACAAGTGTCTGACTCTACCTGTTGGTCACATGTAGGACAGTGCGGGAGGGGTACGACTGAATCCGCCGGTGTAGAGTGGGGTTCCGGCATCGACGCTTGTACGTGAGCTGCGGCGTTGTTAGGACTGTTGTTAGAAGTGTTAGAAATGGAGTTCATGAGTTCTGGGTAAACTTCGGCAAGCCACAGAAGATACGCGGAACCCTGGATCAGTAGCTTATGAGTTGACTCGTAGAATTTGATGCTGACCGATCCGAGAACTTGGCGCGACTTGGTGTCTAGAAACGATGTCTTGATCTGTTGACCGTTCTTCCCTCTGTCCGTCGCTTGAGTGTCATAGTGTTTCTCGCAAGTCGTAAGCCAGGTTTTTTTTAGGTTCTGAGGTAGAAAGATGGTGACGCTTTGCTCGTTGAACTTTACTTGATAGCCAGTTTTTTGTCTGTTGATCTTGGGGGTGTTTGAAGCAGGACAGCCAGCGTCATATTGTTTTCTTCGGGATTCGTCTGACAGAACAACAAAGGCCTTGCTTACCTCCCGATATCTTGTCTCACCTTTCTTGAAGAGGGGACCCTTTTTGTTGAGTTTTGAGGCATTTTCGTAGCTGTTGACTTCTTTCTTGTAAGCTTCGACGATGTCTCCTTGACTGGCGTTGTACTCGACTCCTAGTATGAGGTAGAGATCACCGCTGTCTTTCGTCATGGCGTCCGGCTTGGGTTCGCTTGGATCTTGTCGGATGCGCTAAAACTTGGCTAAACTTGACTTAAAAATCTAGAATTACCCTCAAATATAGAGGTGATAGGATTGACTAACTTTGTAAACACTTAGAAGGAACTATTTCATAGGAACTACTAGGAAAGACGCAATATATAACTTTTTAGCAGGAGCGTGACATTGCGCGTCCTACCTCTGTCGCCATCTTGGTAGATTTACAATGTACATACCCTACAAATGTGTTAAATACTGTACTTGCAGGTAAGACTCAAACGTCCTGAAAGAATAAAACTATAAACAACTATGCATTCAATTTCAATTTATGTTACAGTGTTGACCTTGGACCAGTTGGACTGACCTACATGACAATTTGTCCCATGCTTCCGATTTTAGTGTCCTCGTAAAGGAACTGAACTGGGGGGGGGTCTACTCAAATAATCTCCATACATTTCACTTTATTCCATAAGCTATTACTAACAGAATAACAAACAAGTATACTACTAGTAGTCTTATGCTACATAATACTTATACTTTACTGTGGAATGCAAGCTTAATACTGTCATAATTATCAATTTGTTTTGAGTGTTTGGGTAATGTTCCTTAGTGTAAAAGCTGTCTTCAGTTGTCGCCATGTTTTCACAGGATCGCCACATGAATTGTTGGAACACAAAGGGGTCACATATAGACAACACCAAGTGAATTTTATGACAATATCCTCCACAGACTCCACATTTAAAGCGATAGGGTAAACAAAACAAGGCGGGCATTTTCAAATTTGGAGATAATAAACTTTGAAATAATAGGTCAGCTGCAGAGAAAAGAAAGACGGATAATTTTTTTTGTTAACGGTAAAGATAAAGTTCGCAGTACAGAAGTGACGAACAGACATAACGAACATATTTACCGCGGCAAAATCAGGAATTACAGTAATCAACATCAAGATATTCTCGTCACACCTGTGTTACTCGCCTGAAAACACGCTCTTATTATTCCGGAGCAAGGCCGACTATTGTCAGCAGTATCAATATTTAAATAGTCATCACCTGAGTTCCGCTAGTGTCATATGTTGTTCCTCGCCACCATAGTGACAGACCAAAAAACCTGAACAAGGAGTGTGTCCCATACTACATAGTCTTTGTAACTTATAAAGGTAGATAAATCCCATAGTATGTTTGTTAGACAGCAATCCTGTACATTTGTTGTGCAACAAAGTTTATTGTCATTGATAACCCCCGCCCTGGTGAATTGCTGTTTAAGGGAAGTCAAATTAGGCAGAAATTGGCCAAAGATGACGACAATGACAATGCCATAAAAGCTATTAAACAATATCCAGAAAAAGCGCACGGAAACTCTTATATTGTTTCGTGACGTTACGTTTGTGCCCACTCACTATTTCAGACTAATAAAGAACGGACGTTGAATGGGAACTCCAACATAGACTGTTTATATTCTAATGAAAGATCTGTCCTTTTCAATTATATCAAAGAGAAGTTCCCAACACCTAAGCGCAAATGATAAATCTATATTTTTGATGCGTCTAGACAAACCCTGTATCACAAACATGATCTGCTCCCACATTTTCCACTGTACAAAAAAGCGAGAAGAAGTTGACCTCTCTATATTAGCTCAGTGACTAGAACACTTTGTATTAGCCTAGTATAGTACCCTTGTATGTTCCTTATGTATGTATGTCTAAGTCAAGTAGTGCATCTTTTGTCTCCAATTGTTTATATACGTTTGTTATGTGTCTGTCATATCTTGACCTGTACCTAGCCCGTCGTGGCATGAATGTACAATAAAGGTATTTCACTATATCAAACCGCGTACATGTAGGCATGAGTCATGGAAGGCGTTGTCGTCATGTCTTCACAGGATCGCCACAGCGCGCGCCTTCTTGAATTGTTGGAACATGAAGCGTTTAGGCAACAGCAAGTAAATTCTATGGATGAGATCTTCATGATATTGAGGTTTTCCTGTGGCGCCGAATGGTAGCCGTACAGGCCCTTGCGACGGTTCCTCAAAAACTGGATAGCAAATATGTATACGTATACCATATGTATTATTTGATTGCTGCTGAATAATTTGAATAATTTATCAAGGCCCACGGACGCGGTTCTTTCACTTGTAAAGTAGCCAATTACCACTGATCCGGTGGCACACGATGGGCGAAAACATGTATTTCACACCCATTGTACGTCGACATAAAGCGCTTATGCATTACAAACCAGAATTTTCGTAGGACTGCCATTACTTTAGTTTGCAGCATGTGTATTGAGAACGAGTATCTTCATAATTCTGCTGGCTGTTTGTAGAAGAACGGCACAATAAAACAGTTTTGAATACCAACACGACTTAGCAGATAACACGTAATGAAGCCCACTTTTTACGCAGATTGTACCTCCATGGTAGCACTACGTAATGTTACACAAACTAACAGAAGATGTTTTAAGGAATTCACAGAAATCACAATAATAGATAATGTAACGCATATACATTATACAGCACAAAATAAAGAGTAACAGTAATGTAGTCGTCTTTGGCCGATTATGGCAAGTTATAGTACGTACATGTATCGGTTCAATCTTTAACGGGTAAGTTGACAGCAACAAGCAAGATGCATAGGTTCTATTACTTTTGTAGCTCACTTGCGTCTAGATTTGGGACGAACCCATGTAACTTTTTCGCCGCAGTTTTTCATGTAGTGGTTTCTTCGACAGCCTTTCCGCTGACGCAAACATACTAGTTTGAGGTTCCACAGTTCTTACAACGTTAGCGCTTGAAGTGGTGTTTTCCAAGTTTGTCGGTCTGGTGATGTTGTCTTTGTTGGCTTGTCTGTCATTTCCCTCCATTTTTATGTTTGGCGGCCCGTCTTCGATGGGTTGGGTTTGGTTCACAAATCTCGGCTTCGCTAACGTAGTGGTCGCTCCATTAGCGCTAGTGCAGCCACATTTGAATGTGTAAAACTTAATGTCTACAGTCCCGTTTTGATTCGTTCATCAAAGTAGATTTTACTAAGGTATGACTTTACTAACTGATTGTGGAAGTACTAGTACTTAGTACTGATGTAAACAAGAAACAATATACGCGCTCTGGTTGAGTTCATGGCATTTACGTGAAACAAGGTGCTAATAGCCGCTAGTCGGTGACGCGTCAGCAGCCCTATGATTGGTCTCCGCTAGAAATCTACTGGATGTCATATAGTGTACACG